CCCGCCTCGGCCTCCCAGAGTGCTAGGGTCACAGGTGTGAGCCACTGTGCCCGGCCTAGCCATCCTTTATTGTAGGTGGACCGGGCATGTCCAAGGGCTGTATATTTGACATTCACAACCAGGTTGGGCGAGGATGACACCACTGCACTACAGCTCTGCACACTCTGTCTCTAAAAATAAAGAAAGAAAACCTGCCCGAGGTGGGCCTCCACTTCTTCTCAAAGCCTTAGCAAGCTCATCCTCTGAAAGGGAGCCCCTGGGCAGGGGAAGGAGGTTTGGGGGAGGCAGGAGGAGGTGCTCTGGGTGACAGGAGAATCTAGGCCAACACAGGCCCGGCTGTGCTTCCTGTGGTAAACTGAGGCCAGAGCAGGGCTGGCAGGTGGGCTCTTGCATCCATCCCCAGCCTCTCCCTCCATGCCCCCCTGCAGAGCTCCCCCTGCAGCCAGGCCAGGTCAGCCTGGAAGGAATTTAGCCTCAGGGGCTGCGTGGCGGTGGGGGTGGTCAGGCAAACTCAAATTCCAAGCTCTACTCACCTTTGACATGCTCTGTGACATTGGGCAGGTTCCCATCTTGGCCTCAGTTTTTTTCCTCTGTAAAATGGGGGTGATCAAAGTATGACCTCAGAAGGGCTGTTGTAAGATTAAAACAAGCTCCGAGGAGGCAGTTTCCCCGGGAATAACCAGGAAGAGCACGCTGGTCTGGGGACAGCTCTAGAGAAAGCCATTCCCTTCTCTGTTTCTTAATCCTTCTGCTGAGGTCCAGGAGCAAGTCTTTGCTGAGTGCTAGCCTGTCTTTAACACCCCTCTACACCTGAGAGCCTCTCTTTTAACAAGGAGGGGGCCGGAGGGGCTTAGGCCTTAGGGAATAGAACTCACTCACTCAAGCTTTAGAACATTGTTTTATTTTTATTTTTACTGTTGCCTTCTAATCTACATTGGAGATAGTAGTATTCTACTTAGGGCAGTGATATAGTTTCCTTCTAAAATCCTTCTAAAATACACATGTTGGAATGAGGAAGCCAGTATGAAGAAAAAGCATTAAGGCCGGGCATGGTGGCTCACACCTGTAATCCTAGCCACACCGGGAGCCCCGAGATGGGCAGATCGCTCAAGGTCAGGAATTCAAAACCAGCCTGAGCAAGAGCAAGACCCCGTCTCTACTAAAAATAGAAAGAAATTCATTGGCCAACTAAAAATATATAGAAAAAATCAGCCGGGCATGGTGGCACATGCCTGTAGTCCCAGCCACTTGGGAGGCTGAGGCAGAAGGATCACTTGAGCCCAGGAGTTTGAGGTTGCTGTGAGCTAGGCTGACGCCACGGCACTCACTCTAGCCCAGGTGACAGAGCGAGACTCCATCTCAAAAAAAAAAAAAAAAAAAAGAAAAAGCATTAAGAATGTTACATACAAGTGGTGGAAGGGTCCAAGTTCATTCATTCCATTTGCAGAGTAACTAGTTCTAGTAAAGGGCGGCAGGAAGCCCTGCCCTGGGAGCTCACAGTCTAGTGAAGGGGACTGCAATACAAGAAATGCCGTGTTTTCCCGAAAATAAGACCTACCCATAAAATAAGCCCTACCTAGCAGGATTTCTAAGCATTTGTGCACTATAAGCCCTACCCCGAAATGAGCCCTAGTGATGGGCGTGGCTACGCAGCATATCTACTCAACCCTTGCATTTCGTGGCAGAGCTGTAAAGAAGACAAGCAGCCCTTCCTATCTGCCCCATGAGAGCTCTATGGCTCGACATGAGAGATTGAGGCCAATGGTTCTATAGGAGATAGAGTTGCAAGAAATTCAGGATGGAACTCGGGCTTTGGAGAGTGATGATGATGTTCCAGAAGAAGATGACTTAACTCTATTTGAATCAATGTAGATTGTTGTACTGTACTTAAAAAAAAAATAACACATCCCCTGAAAATAAGCCCTAGGGTGTCTTCTTGAGGAAAAATAAATAGAAGACCTTGTCTTATTTTCGGGGAAACACGGTACAAGCAAGTGACACAGAAAGCACGTCACAAGGGGACAAGTATAGGGGTGCGTGCTGGGGGAGAAGGAGGAACGAGTGAGTTGGATTGGAAGAGGGAGGGCAGAGAAGCCTCACTAAGAAGCTGACATTCACGGGCAAGCCTGCAGGAGGTGAAGGCGGGAGCCACACAGATGCCGGGAGGGGTGAGGCGGCCACGGAGGCCACCTGGCTGGGCAGTCAGGCTGGGGAGGGGGCGGGTCAGAAGGAGGCAGGACTGGGCTTTTGCTGCTGCCGTTTGGAGAGCCCACATGGGCGGGCGGGGTAGAGCACCAGTGAGAGGAGGTCACAGGGCCATGGGGTGAGAATTGTCTGACTCAACATATTTTTAAGGTGGAGCTGATGGGATTTGCTCTTGGGGTGAACGTGGACAGAGAGAGGAGACAAGGCCTGGCGGGGGCACCTGGGAAACAGTTTGCATTAACCAAGACGGGGAAGCCGAGTGAGGTCAGCCTTGGCAGGGGAAGGGGCTCAGGACGGCGGTGGGAGGGGTGTGAAGGGGGGTCTGCAGCGGGTCACACTGGGATCATCGGCAGGTACATGGTGTCTTAGTTCATGTTGCTGTAACAAGAGACACCAGCAGACCAGTGTCTGGTGAGGGGCCAATGTCTCCTCAATGGCACCTGCTACCGTGTTTCCCCCAAAATAAGACAGGGCTTGTTTTTTTTTGTTTTTTTTTCTGAGACAGAGTCTCGCTTTGTTGCCCAGGCTAGAGTGAGTGCCGTGGCATCAGCCTAGCTCACAGCAACCTCAAACTCCTGGGCTCGAGTGATCCTTCTGCCTCAGCCTCCCGAGTAGCTGGGACTACAGGCATGCGCCACCATGCCCGGCTAATTTTTTCTATATATATTAGTTGGCCAATTAATTTCTTTCTATTTATAGTAGAGACGGGGTCTCACTGTTGCTCAGGCTGGTTTCAAACTCCTGTCCTCGAGCAATCCGCCCGCCTCGGCCTCCCAGAGTGCTAGGACTACAGGCGTGAGCCACCACACCCAGCCAAGCCTGGGTCTTCTATTTATTTTTCCTCAAGAAGACACCCTAGGGCTTATTTTCAGGGGATGTGTTATTTGCGCACAGGATGGCCGGGACCTGACAGGGGGAGCCGACCTTGTTGGTGGGGCTGCCCGCACCTTTCTGGTCACCTCTGGGATAGTAGCTGTAATGACGGGGCAGATGAGAAGGACTGCTCGTGTTCTTTACCGCTCCACGACAAAATGCACGGGTTGTGCAGATGCGCTGCGTAGCCACGCCCGTCACTAGGGCTTATTTTCGGGGTAGGCCTTCTATGGTGCAAATGCTTAGACATCCTGTGAGGGCTTAGTTTATGGGTAGGTCTTATTTTCGGGGAAACACAGTAGCTGTGCCCTCATGTGGTGGAAGGAGGAAGGGGACTCTCAGGCATCTTTCGTTAGGGCTCTAATCCCATCATGAGGGCTCCACCCTCACGGCCAACTTATGAATTCTGGGGAGCCACAACCATTCAGAGTGTAGCAGAGGGTCTCCTAAGCCAGGGGACAGGCTGACAGCATCTGGGTTAAAAGCATGGAGAGGATGGAAGATGAAAGGTGGAGCATTGGCCCGCCATGCCATGGGAGTCAGAGAGGACGAGGAGGGAGGGAGCCCGCGAAGACGCCGAGGGTGGCCAGGGAGGCCCCAGGAGAACCAGGCAAGCAGGAGTCGGGCAAGCCAAGGGAGGAAGGCGCTTCACAGGGACAGGAGGAACACTGCTGGAGGGGCGAGAACCACGAGGATGAGACTTGGGCATGGGCCCTAGTAACATGGACACAAGGGGACCCAGAGGGCGGGTGAGTGAGGGGGCAAGAGCCTGCCCAGCGGGGATTTAAGGGAGAGCCGGAGGCGAGGGACTGCAGCCTGCCTGTGGACAGCTCTGGGGACTTCTGCCACACCAGGAAGGAGAAAGTGAGGCAGTGGCTGCTGGAGGAGGAGGAAGGTGGTGAGAGGGATTTTGGGTTCCCTATTTAGTTGTAAGATGGGAAAGTGTTTGAGGGAAGGATCCTGGGAGAGGAGAGAGGGTGGAATTGCAGACCTGACCTATGTTGGCTTGAGGGATGAGGACCTGTGGACAGGTGGAGGGGTGGTCCCAGGAGGAGGAGGGGCGGGAGCCAGGTCAGAAGGGGGAGGGGCCGCTGGTGGGAATTTTCTACGGTTCCCTCATTCAAAGCATATTTATTGGGCACCTACTAAGTGCCAGGCAGAACAGAGTGTTTCCGTTTTCTCCGTGGCCTGGGCACCAGGTGGGCAGAGGGGTGAGGCTGGGCAAGGGGCAGGTGAAGACAAGGACAGAGGAGAGGGGGAGGGGAAAGGACCAGTGGCCTTACGGACACCTGGAAATTGTAAAGGTTCTGGGTCTTTGAGTGCAGCTTTTTGGTCTTTTGACTGAATCCAACTTTTACAGAACAAATCCTTTACATCCAGGGGTTTGTTCTGCAAGGTTTGGATTCGGTCGAAGGGCCACACTTGGAGATCTGGAAGGCCACATGTGGCCTAGAGGCCGCAGGTTCCCCACCCCTGTTTCAAGCAAATAGCTGAAATTCAGTAAATTACTGGGATGACGTAAGCAGAGCATTTAGCTCGGTCCCTTAAGTGCTTTGCTCCCGTCCGTCCACGGCGGTGGCATCTGGCAGACCCGGGTTTAAAGGGCAATAAAATCCCTGGACATTCCACGGTACTTAATCGCTCTGCACCTCAGTTTTCTCATCTGTGAAATGGGGAAATGGGATAATAAACTCCTAGTGTCAGCGCTGGGAGTCACCGCGAGCGCTCGAAACCCGTGGGCGCGCGGGGAGGTGACCGTCGGCCCGGCCAGGCCTGCAGGAGGGCGCGCGGCGCCTCGGGGGACCCGGGCCCGCGGGGCCGGGCGTGGCGCGAGGCGGGGCGGTGTTGACCCCGCCCCGGGCAAGAGGGCCGGCTCTGCTCTCGCCCGCCAGCTCCCGGCCACTGCCCTCCTGCGGGCCGCTCGTCCGCTGCCGGCCGCCGCGGGAACCGGAGGTACAGGGGGCCGCGCCGGGGTGCGGCGGGCGGGGGCGCCCGGGCCGGGTGGGGACGGGGCGCTCCGCGAGGGGAGGGTCGGGTGGGGTGGGCTCGGCGGCCGCCCAGCCCGGCCACCTGTTCCGGAGGCGACATTTGTGCTCGCACCAACCCGCGCGGCGGCCCCGGCCGCGCGCTGCGCCCCAAGTTGAGCGCGGCGGCCGCCCGGGAGCCGCGGCCCGAGGGAGGCGCGCCCGCCGAGACGAGACGCGGGGTCCGAGTGCGGCTCCGCACGCGCTGCGACCTTGGGCGGGCCGCGCCGCTCTGCGCGGGGGCGCGGAGTCGCCCGGGGAGGCCGGGGCGCCTGGCCGTGCTCGCCCGGGGCCCGGGGCCGCGGCGGGGCAGGGCACGGGGCGGCGGCAGGAGGGGCGCGCGCTCTGGGGATCTGCGCCCGCCGCCCCCCGAGGGAGGCCGCAGGTGGACGCGGAGGGCGCGAGGCGGGCAGAGCCGGCTGGCGCCGCCGGCCGAGCGCTCCCTCTCGGGTCCGCGGCCGCCCTCCCCTCCCGCTTATCCCACCCGCGAAGGTTCGGCTCCAAGTGGGAGCAGTGCCGCGCGGGGCAGGTCCTGGCGGGGAGATCCGGCCCAGAGCCCACCCGCTTCGCTGCTAGGGCGAGTCCCCGTGCCTCAGTTTCCTCAGCTGGAGGTAGACGTTCCCACCTCCTCGACAGACTCCGCGAGCCCTGGCTCTGAGAGAGTTAAAGAGCTGTGTACCCGCACCCGCCCTCTCTCGGGACCCCCTTCTGCTCCCGGCTTCCCCTCCCCCAGGCCTAGCGTTTCCCGCGGGCCCCTGGGGTCCCTGAGCCTCGTCCAGCAGGTGTGCCGGGAGCCCCTGGGTGTCCCGGCCCAGCCTGCCCCTCCGCAGCCGCAGGGCCCAGACCGGCCTCCCCGCGCCACGCCTTCCCCGGGCCCCCGCCCGGCTACTCTGTTTCCACAGCCGGAATCCCCAACGGCGGTGCCCAGATCAAAGGCCAAAACACAACAGTCAAGAAAGGGAGCAGGGAGACGGCATCGTCTCCGGAATTAGCTCTTCTCCCCAGCTTTTTCTAAAGCCTCCGGTACCTGCTGTCTGCCGGGACGCCTCGGTATTAGCGGACACACTCCAAAACGGAGAGTCTTCCTTGTGCCAAGTGAGGCCCTACAGCTGCCTGGGGCAGTGGGTTGTTTCTGGTGCGCGTGACGGGCCCCAGGGCAGCGTAGGACAGGGTGGCAGAATCTCTGCAGGTGGCTTGTGTGGAACATGAGGAGGTTGTGTGTGACCCACCACGTCAGTCCCAGCAACCCCCAGACGCCTGGCCGTGGGGTCCTGGGTCCAGGCCTCCATGGACCCAGGGCTGCAGGGCATGCAGGTCCCCAAAGGTGATGGCAGGTAGATGGCTCCTATGGAGTGAGCACTTCACTCTCCCCAGCTGCCTTCCAGCACGCCCAAGTATGCTCACACTCCTTCGGCAGCCTGGGCTTTCATGGGCTTACCCCTCTCCCTCCTCCCTCTCCCCTCCACTCCGCTCCTCCTCACTCCTCCTCCTCCTCCCCTCCTCCTCCTGCTTCCCCTCCCATTCCATCCAGATTGGAAGCCCCTGGAGAGAAGGAATCTCGCCTTAATCCCAGCGCCTACCTGACACCTGTAGGCACTTACTAAATGTTGCTTGAATGAATTAAGTGAAAGAAGTAGGAAAAATAATTCTATATTTGCATACTTGGAGATAACTATTGTTTAAAATTTCAGGGGTTTTTTGCCAGGCTTTTTAGAAACATTTTTTATATATTTGAATATTTTTTCTATATAATTTTTCCATTAGCATCATTTCATGAATATTCTCCACCCCTCAAACATTTTTTATATTTCTCCATGCTTACATCTTGTTATATCATATTTAGTTAATGGATCTCCTTTGACATTTGGGGTTTTTAGAAAAACATTTGGGTCTTTTAGATAATGTTACATTGAATCTATGCATACATTTATACATTGCCAGATTTTTCCTAGAAAGGAATTAACCTGGTAGTCGGTGTGTATGAACTTCTAGAATGGCTGTACCTAGACCCAGCTAGCTCTCCGAGGCACTGTGCATTGCATGCTCGGGCTGCTGGTGTGTATTTATTTCCTAGAAATGAAATTCCTAGATCAAAGAGTAGAATCTGGGATCTTTGTATGTTGCGTATTGATTTGTTTGAGCTCATCAGTGAGGTTTGTGCCCCTTGTTTGGTCTCTTTGTGGCAAGGATCTTTTCCCAGGCTGTCGTTGGCTTGTATTTTTGCTTCTGCCTGTGTGTATGTAGCAAGTTTTTTATTTTTATTTTACTTTATCTGTATGTGTGCTTTCCGATGAGGGAGGCTTGGCTGCATTTATTAGCTCATGGAAAGAGCCAGAAGGCAGCGAGGCTGAGGCTGGGGGAGGGGCAGGTCAGGAGACTGAGGTCCCAGGGAGCAGGAGGTGGGAGGGAGTCAGCCCTGCTGCAGAGGGACCTTCTGAGCTGGTGAGAGGGAGGCTGGGAGGACACTCTGTGGACTGGCTTTGACACCCTTAGGGAGATGAAAAGTGAGTGGGAGGAGAACCGGGCCAGCCTGGTCCCCTCCTTTCTGGGGGTAGCAGGTGTTACCACTCCCACCTACAGACTGAAGGGACTGGAAGGGCCTCACTGGGGTCAGGCCGATGGTGAGCGGCAGGGCTGGGTTAGGAGTAGACTCACCCCCTCCCCGTACCATCCACAGGCACTTGGCCCTCTCCAGCCTCCGTTTCTCGTGGCTGTGGGGCAGCGGCTCCTTACTGTGGTTCTTAGGGAGCAGGTGGCCCTTCCTCCCCTGTCTGCGCCTTTGTCTTCCCTCTGGGCGGATCCCAGCAGGGCGGGAGCTTCCAGCTGCGCAGACTTGGCCACAGGACTAGTGGAGCCCTCTTCCCTTCCAGGCTGGTGCCTGCACACCCTCCCCTGTGCCCGCACCCCCTCCCACCACAGCCCCCGAGTTAGGACGAGTTAGGACGTGACATGGGGGAAGTGGTCTGTCTGCACATTCTCTGGAAAGGCTTGATTTGAAAGGGCAGAAGTCGTTGGCCCCCATTGGCTTCTCCCCAGGGGTCTCCACGGTGGGAGGTGAGCTTTCAGCTGAGCTCCTACCAGGTGCCACACTCGGTGTAACCTCATCTTATTGGAGCCTCTCAGCCAGCCTGCACTATTGTTCCCATTTTACAGATAAACAAACTGAGACTCAGCATCAAGCGCCTCTTCTTCATTGAGATCGAACTCCAGCCCCAGCGCAGTCCCAGGTGAACTGGGCTGGGCTACAGCAGATCCCTTTCACCTGGCAAAGGGCGTCGGAACCTCAGCTGTGCCTCGGTTTCCTCAGCTCTTACACTGTAGTTGGTGAGGAGGCCCCACCACCCAGAGATGTTGCGAGGATTAAACAAATGACTGAATGAAAACTACTTTGACCAGTGGCTGTGCATGGTCAGGCCCGGGGAAATACCCACCATTGTTGTTATTAAGCCACATAGCTTCGGCCTGACAGCGAGCTTTTAATAAATGTTAACTCAACAGCAGTGCAAGCCACACAGACAGATTAAGCACTCACCGGATTAGGGGCTGGGCTGGTGGCCCACGCCTGCAGTCCTAGCACTCTGGAGGCTGAGGCTGGAGAACACTTGAGCCCAGGAGTTGGAGGCTGCAGTGAGTTATGATGATGCCACTGCACTCCAGCCTGGGTGACAGAGCAAGACCCTGTCTCAAAAATAAAACAACAACAACAACAAAAAAAAACCGCTCAGCAGATTAGTAGAGGACAGTCACGAGACCCACCCCACCCGCTGCCCACGGGGCGAGAGTGTGGGGAGGTGGGCCTGACGCTGCAGCAGGGTGGTGGGAGGGGACAGGTCAGAGCTGTGTATCTGAATCCTTAAGTTTCCTTTGACCCAAGGGGGTCACGTCCAGGAACCAATCCTATAGGTGTGGATAAGGACGTGCTCTAGGATGTCAGTGATGTTCGCCATGGTGGTGTTTATAAAGGCTGGAAGATGGAAACCACATTTCTGGTGGTCAGGATGGGATATGGGGGAAATGAAGGCAGGGACTGATTGCCCTAAGAAGGGATATAGGGTGGCCCTAGAAATTAGGGTGTGGTGCTATGGCAGACTGTGAAGGGCATGGCATATTTTTCCACACAGCTTTAGTGAGGTATAATTTACACATCACTGCATATATGCAGTTCATTGAGTTTTAGGAAATGTATACAACTACCACCATCTAGTCATAGAGCACAAGGGCCCAGCATATTTTTTGTTGTTGTTGTTTTTTTTTTTTTTTAATGTCACTATATCTTTTTTTTTATTTTGGCATATTATGGGGGTACAGATTTTAAGGTTTCATAAATGCCATTTCCCCCTCCCCCCAAAAGTCTGAGTCTCCATCATGACCTCCCCCAGATGGTGCACATCTCACTCATTATGTATGTATATACCGCCCCCCTCCCACCTGCCAATACCCTATTACTGTAGCACCTATGTGTCCACTTAGGTGCTGCTCAGTTAATACCAGTTTGCTGGAGAATATATCTGGTGCTTGTTTTTCCATTCTTGGGATACTTCACTTAGTAGTATGGGTTCTAGCTCTAACCAGGAAAATATAAGATGTGCTATATCACCATTGTTTCTTAGAGCTGAATAGTACTCCATGGTTACATATACCACATTTTATTAATCCATTCTTGGATTGATGGGCACTTGGGCTGTTTCCACAGCCTTGCAATTATGAATTGTGCTGCTATAAACATTCGAGTGCAGGTGTCTTTTTTGTAGAGTGTCACTGGATCATTTGGGTAGATGCCCAGCAATGGGATTGCTGGATCAAATGGTAGATTCACTTGTATCGCTTTAAGGTATCTCCTATTTTTCCACACAGGTTGAACCAGTTTGCAGTCCCACCAGCAGTGTAGGAGTGTTCCTCTCTCTCCGCAACCACGTTGTTGTTTTTTTAGACAGAGTCTCACTGTCGCCCTGGCCAGAGTGCTGTGGCATCAGCCTAGCTCACAACAACCTCAAACTCCTGGGCTCGAGCAATCCTGCCTCAGCCTCCCGAGTAGCTGGGACTACAGGCATGCACCACTGTACCTGGCTAATTTTTTCTATATATTGTTAGCTGGCCAATTAATTTCTTTCTATTTTTAAGTAGAGACAGGGTCTCACTCTTACTCAGGCTGGTTTTGAACTCCTGACCTTGAGCTATCCTCCTGCCTTGGCCTCCCAGAGTGCTAGGATTACAGGCGTGAGCCACTTCGCCCAGCCAGCGTATTTTTAAAATAAAAATTAAGCGTGGTATAGAACAGTATGTGTAACAGGATCTCCTTTTGTGCGTCTGCCTGTCTGCAATCTGCAAACATCACGATGTGAGAACAGAAGCATCCGATAAGGACTGGAAGGACAATATGTGACAGCAGCAACAGGAGCACTCTCTTGTGCAGGTCACAGGAAGACTGGCCATGCCCTGTGCCCCTGCCTAAAGTCTTTTTTTTTTTTTTGAGACAGAGTCTCGCTTTGTTGCCCAGGCTAGAGTGAGTGCCGTGGCGTCAGCCTCGCTCACAGCAACCTCAAATTCCTGGCTCAAGTAATCCTCCTGCTCAGCTCCCAAGTAGCTGGGACTACAGGCATGCGCCACCATGCCCGGATAATTTTTCTATGATATATTAGTTGGCCAATTATTCTTTATATTTATAGTAAGACGGGGTCTCGCTCTTGCTCAGGCTGGTTTGAACTCCTGACCCTTGAGCCAACCTCGCCTACTCGGCCTCCCAGAGTAGCTAGGATTACAGGCGTGAGCCACCAGACCCGGCCTAAAGTCTTTAAATAAAGAGCAAAGTAGGAAGTATCACAGCAAGGTGGTGACTAGTAACCCCCAAAACACATATGACCCCCCCATTAACACTGGCCCCTCGGGGATCCTGCCTCCCGCCCCTCGTTCCTGTACAGCCTCCGTGAAAATACGCAGACGGTGCTCAAAGCTGCGGAGACAGAACTGAAGTCACCCATAATTCTTGCAACCAGAAACAGAGCCCTGATAGCATTATGGTAAATTCTTGGCAGATGGCCACTCTTGCATATTATGGGTGGGAGCTTCCTGGGGAGGGAACGGAGGGACATTTTGGAGGGCGGAAGAGCGTGTTGCAGAAGCTGGTGCTCCCAGAGCATAGCGGGTTGGGGCGACAGGGAGGAGGTCGGTTTTCCTATCCCGTTTTTATCATTTGCGGAGGCATCGGGAGTGTCAGGGTGGCTCTGCTTCACCTGCCACACGTTTGTGGTGTGTGCTCGCCGTGGCCAGGTCCTCCCTAATTTTGATGTCATTTGCGATCTGAGGTGGGGTGGGCAGTGTCTGGCTCAGCTCCCACTCTTCTCTGCTCCCAGTATGCTCAAGGTCAAATTCACCAGTCATTCCCAATAGCACCCCCACCTCCTGCGGGGGACTGTCTGTGGACGAGGCTTACACCCCCACCCGTGCACAAGTGACCACAAGCTCTGCGCGGTGCTGGGACCCAGCCCACAGCCACCCCTGAAGGTGGCCTGCTCTGCTCACCAGGGCAGGGCGGACCGAGGGGGAAGGGGGCAGACACACTGGCGTTCAGATCCTGCCCCCAAAGTCACCTTCCCTCTCTGTAGCTCAGTTTTCTCATCCAAGAAATGGGGGCATGCTGGTGGCTGTGAAGGCTAAGGAAGGCCGTGAAGGCTAAGGAAGGCCGTGAAGGCTACCTCCTACCTGTGGAGGTAACGAAGGAACAGTGCTTGGCCAGGTGGCTGATGTGGGTTGCGTTCTGGGCAAGGGGACGCTCTTCTTACTATGGTTGGTAGGTTCCTGGAGGGACATTTTGGGAAGAGGGAAGAGCATGTTGTAAAAATCTGCAGCTCCCAGAGCCTAAGGGGCTTGAGCCAAGGGGCAGCAGTCAGCACGGGTGGTCTAGAAGGTGTAGTGGCAGGGAGAGGGATGGGGGATGTGCCCATAGGGCCTCAGCATGTGTGGTGGGGGCCACCACCATTGTCGCCTGTAGTTTAGTGGTTCAGTCCCCCAAAGCAGCCAGATCTTAAAGATCTCTAAGATACAAGTCACACTGTATCTTAAAGTTCTCTCAGATACAAGTCACATTCCCCGCTCAAAATCATTCCAATCAAAAAGGCGAGTCTTACAGTGGCCCTCAAGGCCCCCCATGGCCTGCCCTCCCCTCCCCATATGTCTCTGGCCGCCTCTCTTGGTGCCTTCCGCGTGCTCTGCTGTTCTGTGGGTACTCAGGCACACTCCTGCCAGGGCCTGTGCACTCCCTGGTCCCCCTCCTTCCTGAGCTGCAGGTCCCCAAGTGTCCCCACTGCTTTCCTGCTTCAGGTCTCAGGACAAACGTACAAACGTCCGCTTTGCAGAGGGGCCCTCCCCAACCCATCATTACAAAGTAGCCTCCCCCCTCCCCTGCTGTGCGTTTCTCCATAGCACATATTGCCACCTAATGTATTTCTTTATTTACAAAAAAAAATTTAGGTGCAGGGTCTCGCCCTGTTGCCCAGGCTGGAGCGCAGTGACACCATCATAGCTCACTGCAGCCTCGAACTCCTGGGCTCACGCGATCCTCTTGCCTTAGCCTCCGGAAGTGCTGGGACTTCAGGTGTGCACCACCACACCCAGCCAATGTATTTCTTTCCTTGTCGATTTTCTTCCTCTAGAATGTCAGCACCATGAAGCCAGTGACTGTCTCTTCACTGCTATGTGTATTCCCAGGCCTCCGAGCAGGGCCTGCCACCACACGGGTGCTCAGGCACGTGTTGAGTGAGGATCCAGGTGCCAGGGGCTTGCCCCTTCTCTTTCCAAGCTGACTTCTTGCTCAGGTTGAGCAGGAACTCCCCTATGAATGAATTGCCCTCCCTCCTGACCTCATTGTCTGTGCCCTTGGCCTTGACATCAGGGGACAGGGGACACTCTTAAGAGGTCATTGATGTCTACTCCTGATGGAATGGACAGAACCAGTGCCCAGAGACCAGGTTAGGAAGGTCTTTCGAGAAGGGTCCTAAGAGATTATCTTTTCCAAGCTCTTTATTTTACAGATGAAGAGATTGGGGCTCAGAGTTGGGGGGGAGGTCATACTCCAAGGTCACAGAGCAAGTGTGTAGAAGGCGGAAACCAGGTCCCTTGCTGAGACAATATCCAGTTAGCAAATTATTATCAATATTGAGAATAAAAACCACCCAGTACTGGTGAAGCTGGGAAGAGGGGGTGAGGACTTTCCTTTGCTGCCCATTATATTTAATTTTAATGCAGTAAAAAGGGAGAAAGTGAAGTAACATGGAAACTTCCTTTGAAGTAGAGTGAACTCAGGACTCTTCTAATTCAGACCGAAATTTCTAGATGCCCTTTCCATGGGCATTTCATTTGCTAGGCATAATTTTATCTGATGAGGAGCTTTGCCTGCTCCTTGCATCTCTGTGATCTCTGCATAGTAAGTGACCAAGATAGACAACTCATCGGCACCCAGCCACCTCGGCACTGTGGGATATCCTGTGTGCACCTGTGCACGTGCCCCGAGTGCATGTAGGAGCCTAGATTCATGGTGACTCATTGCTCCTGTAACTGAGCGTAAAACCCAGGCAGGGGCTGCACACAGTGGTGGATGCCTGTAATTTCAGGGCTTTGGGAGGCCGAGGCAGAAGGATCGCTTGAGCCCAGGAGTTGGAGGCTGCAGTGAGCTGTCATCATGCCACTGAACTTCAGCCTAGGCAACAGAGAAAGATCCTGTCTCTGTAAAAAAAAAAAAAAAAAAAAAGGGGAAGGGATTCCACGATTTCACCCAGCCCCTGAGAAGCCAGCAGCAGCCAGCCGGATCTTCAGTCCAGCCTCCAAAACAGAGCAAGCGGGAGTGACCCTGGGCGTGGGGGGGATGGTCTCAGGGAAGGAAGAAAGGCACTCTTGGGACTGGTACATACTCAGGTACTTTACTATGAAGAGTCAAAGGTGTGTGACTTTATTTTGTATCCTCAGATGGTGAGATATTAATTACATTTTCTAACAGTTATAATTTGTATCTGTACATGGTTTACAGTTTGCAAACAGCATTCTCCTGGATTAGTTACCATATTTGATCTTGGCTTTGTGGGCAGGACAGGGATCATTTACGCATTCCTTCAAAAAAAAATGTGCATTGAGCACCTACTATGTGCTGGGCCCTGGGGATGTGATCCTGAGTAAAAGTGGCTTTGGACCCTGCCCTCCTTCCATGGTATTCGTGTGTTATTGTTTATTTAATCAGCCTCCTTGAGAAAGACCTTGGATTGTTTCTAATCTTTTGCAATTGCAAACAAATCTGTGGCATGGTACAAATGTCACTTATCCTATAGGATAAAATCCTCAGAGCGGGACTGCACGTTGAAAGGATAAGTGCCTGTGTAATTTTGATAGATGTTAAATGGCCCTGCAGTGCCCATCGGTGCTGCCTGTAGGCACGCCTGCCGGCAGCGTAAGAGCATGCCCTTTCCCACAGCCTGGCCGGAGCACGCTCAGTGTTTGCAGTTTTGCCAATCTGCTAGCTGAGAGATTCTATCTGCGTGTTTCAGTTTGCATTTCTCTCACTTAGAAAAAGATCCAATCTTGCTTGTTTAGGGGTCATATGCTACATGTGTGTGAACTGTCCTTTGCTCATTTCCTTTGGGACGTTGGTTTTTTTCTCCTTGATTTCTGGGCACTCTCTATATATCAGGAAAATTACACCTTTGTGATATGAGGTCCTCGTGAGTTGTTGCAGGTTGTCACTTCTGTTTTGACTTTCTTGTTGGTATTTTGGAGGAGGAAATGGGGAAGATTTTAGGGAAGGAGTTGTTGTTTTTGAGTAGTCACATCTATTTATCTTTTCTTTTATGGTTTCTGGAGTTTAGACATAATTAGGAAAACCTTCCCAACAACAAAGTTATAAATCAATCCACGCATGTTGTGTTGTGTACGTTTCTGGGTTTTATTATTTGCATTTGGAGTTTATCCTGGGGCATGTCATTTTTCCCCGTGGCTACCCCTCATCGCCCAGCATCTTACATTAAACGGCCCGGTTTACCCTCCTGATTCGAGCTGCTGCCTTCCTTCGTTGTATAGGAAAGTACCATATTATTTCTGTGTTTCCTTTGCTTTGTTAGTCTGTTCATATGCTGACACTACGTTGCTTTAATTATCAAAGCCTTACAGGATATTTACTAGCTAAAGGGCCAGCCAGTCCTTCCTTTTTTGTTCTGCCTATCAGTTCTTGTTTATTTTTCTGTGTGGGCTTCAGGGTCAAATTGTCTAATTCCATAATCACATGCAATTCATAAATTGGCTTAGAGAAAATGGACATCTTCACGAAGCCAAGTCTTCCAGCCAGAAGTTCCGTGTGTCTTTTCCATTTGTTCAAGCTTACTTTGTGTTTTGGGGGGACTTTAAAATTTTGCTAACATGGATTTTGAACAACTTTTGTTAAGTTTAACTCCAAGTATTGTGGCCGTTGTTGTAAGTGGAGTCTTCTCTTTCATTATATCTTCTAACTGCCTGTTGTTTAGTGTGCACGTACATATTCTACCACCTTCTGCTATGCTTTTATTATTTGTAGTTTTTCGATAGTTTCTCTTGACTTCTCCAGGTATACAATAATAATATGATATGACAATAGCAATTGCTTTAACTATTTCTGTTCAATTTTTATGCCTCTAATTTCTTTCTCCTGTCAAATAGCTTTGATGAGTCAATATAATAATGTTAGTGATGATGTGTGAAACTGAGTACTCAAGTTCTCGCCTGAGTATGAAGTCACCTCCTGGCTTTTGTGTTGATCTATGTAATTTTGTCAAATGTTTTTTAGTGTCATTGGGGCTGACCATTTTTCTCTTTAGATCTATTAATATAATGATTTATATTCATGATTTCCTAATATTGAATCATCCTTACATTCCCCGGAATAAACCCCACTTGGTTTAGATATTTTATTTTAATGTGCTTCTGAATTTTTTTTTTTTTTTTTTTTGAAACCAAGTCTCACTCTGTCGCTCGGGCTAGAGTGCCATGGTGTCAGCCTAGCTCA